TTACTAACTTTATGCAAAGGCTACACATATTGTCTCATTCGATTTCCTACCATGCTTTAGAAGAAAATACTCCAAATTGTTCTAAATTTCACAAAAAAGTAACCATTTAAAGCTTAAAGATGAAAAATTTACCTGACAAGTAGTGAATGGCAGGATGGAATTGAGACAAGGTATTTCTTCTTAAATAATGTTTTATTCATTCCTTAACACTTTTATACAATGTATTTTTAATCACATTTACTCCCCTCCAAACTCTTCCCAACTACAAGAGTAGTTGTCCAGCTACTCTTGGGAGTGAGGCCTACCCTGGAATGTGGTGAATCTGACTTTCCCTCTCAAAGCAGGTATCAATTGCCAATAGTACCTCAACTAATAGTGGGATTTCATGCTTGCCTTCCCTTCAGCATTCAGATTTATCTAAAGGCACTTCATTTACTGATTTTATTTTTTTTAATAGTCTCACTATATACTTCTGCCTGGCCTGGAACTCACAATGTAGACCAGACTGGCCATAAACTCACAGAGCTCTTCCTATCTCTGCCTCTATGTGCTGAGATTTATCTCTGCCTCTATGTGCTGAGATTAAAGGCAGACCTTACCAGGCTGGTTTGACCTTTCTGTTCTTGATGCTGAAGTGATCTGCCTCGAAAGTCTGTGTTTGGCATGGTATTCACCCTTCCTAAGTACTGGAGGTCCCTACTAGGCTACTACTTGAGTTACAATGATCAGACTTCCAATGGTATAAAAGTAACATGTATTCCAAAAAATCTTAATATTAACTGTCAGTTTTGACATATTCTGGAACCAACCATATGCAGATTAGTTTCTCACCATGTTGGTACCAGCATTAAGCCAGAGTTTCCATTCATCCATTCTATCAAATAAGAGCAACAACTGGTAATCTTCAAGTTACTGTTGCTAAGTGCTAATACTTGTAGGCTACATATTAAAGTCATGTTCAATTTATAATAGATTTATTGGTATGTAACCTCATCACAAATCCAGTCTCTACAGGGTCTCAATCTTTTATATATTTTTCTGAATCATTTTGTAATCTCAGCTCTACTTTCAGGGCATCTCAACATCTTCCAAATTCAGTTGATAGGAAAATGGAGATTACATGTAATAATGATTATTACATGTAATAATCACATCTTTATTCACATGAATAAAGATGACTACAGACTTGTCATGTGGCATATAGCATGACAAAATCAACAGACTTTGAACCATGTTGTTGTAGTACATAAAATTTGGAAGAGAGAGAAAAGAATCAATACAAACTGAATTTGTATTGATTCTTTCATGAATCTTAACTTCTGTATTCCTATTTTAAACTCTAGTTCCCATTGACTTTTTAATAACATTCTGGTCCTAAATCATATCTAAGAAAATATCATAAGAGCTAGAACATTTCTAATAGCACAAGCTAATGTTGAAGTACTCACTAGTGGGTATAACTGATGTATATGCCCTTTTATAGTTTCTCATCTATATTTTTCAAAATAAAACTGAATATTATATTCATATGCTAAACTATGCCATAAATACCACTTTGGAAAAGTCAGAAAACTGACTGGTTATAATGTAGATAACTAGTTAACTTTTAAGAAAAATGTCAATGTACATACGACATTCTAAATTAAGAAAGAGAAAATGCTTAACATTTTGTTATTGTAACATCTTTCATGATAAATAGCTAAATTTTAAAAAAAATAGTGTCAGGATCTACAATTTTAACCACCTTCACCAGCTCTCATATACTTGGCTTTCATGAACACAATAAATATGGGTGGAAATTATTAGATTCATGAACACAACAGTAGACATATTTTGTAAGCATTCTGGCTCACTTTCATATTACCTTTATTAGAACAGCAATTGAAAAAAAACAGAAGTAATTATGTGTTGTCTGCTTTTCACACCAATTTTTTCCATTCAATTCAGCTGAAGGCCAGAACTTTAGCAAATGAATGAGATAAGCTTTATATGAATGATTGTGATCTTCTACTTAAGTCACCGGCCATAGACATTTATTTAGCCCTCATCCCAATCCAATTTCAAAGTGAAAGAAAAAAAAAAACAGTGTCTGAAGATTTTTCCAATTTCATAAGGGCAATGCAAAAGGTTGCAAAGGCTTCCCCAGCAGTGTCATCATAAACATGCTGGTGTCCCCAGAATCATCAAACGTCTATGAAAGAAAAGCCTTGTTCTGTTCTATTGACACAGATTTTAAACAGTGTTTGACACACAGTTTGTATTGATTCTTTTCTCTCTCTTCCAAATTTTATGTACTACAACAACATAGTTCAAAGTCTGTTGATTTTGTCATGCTATATGCCACATGACAAGTCTGTGGTCATCAAAGATGTGAAATATTTATTCCAAGTAATATTATACAGTGGAGTTCGATTCCATTGGGACAGAAGCAGACTTTACATAGAACACCTCCTTGGAAATAAGTATGGTTACAGAGGTAGGAAGGGACTCCTATAAAAAATAGCAAACCCATGCCTGTAAGCCCAGCACTGGGAAGGCTAAGGCAGAAGGACTGTGAGTTTGAGTACAATCTGGAATACACAGCATTGTTTAAAAAAAAGAAAAGACTAATAAATCCTTCCTCATGAAACTTACCATATATATATATATATATATATATATATATATATATATATATATGTCTATATGTATATATACACATTGGAATATCTATTAATTCCTGAACACCAAAATCCAAAATGACACTTGCTAGTGGTGAGAGCCAACTTCCAACTAGTACAATGTGGCTAAGACAGCCCTGGAATACATCTATCATCCAAGCTTTTGAAATGTCTACAGCCTTAGAAAACAGGTCTCATGGTTTTTGTAAGGTTCACTGGACAGTAAGCCAACAGAGGGATCCCTGAGTACACAAGTCTGGCTTTCCACCAAGAAGTCTGGCTTAAGATTTTTGTCTGAATGTTCACCATATCACTAAGATTTGGTAAGGTTCTTACCAATAGATTGGATGTCATAAATACCTTTCATAAACTCCCTCTGTCTCTGGTGCAGCATCATATATATATGATTGAGGTCTTGAGAGACTTTATTCTAAAATAAAAACCCTTCTACAAATTTCCACCCTAGTGAGATAGCAATGGGATATCTATTTATTGGAACCAGGCTGTCCGATTAACCATTTCCAATAAACAAACAAACAAACAAAAAACCTGTTGTTAAAAACTATTTTATGATATTGTAAGCAGCTAAATAAGAGGAAAGGTTCTAATTTTATACACATCAACAGTAGCTTGGCTAATACCTGTGTCTCCCTTTACCCATATAAAAAATAGGGGCTGTTGGCACTAGAATCTGTCACTTAGAAACCACACTAAGTGGTATTAAGTCACTGTAACAAGAATGCTAAAGTACTCTTCAAGGCACAATTAATCAATGCATAAGGAAAATGTGAGCTGTTTATATTCTAGCTTGCACATCTTATGAACAGAATTGTAGGAACAAAAGCCTGATAAAGTGGCCCATACCTGACCCCAGCTACATGAGGTGGAAGAGCGTGATTTTTTTTTTTTTTCTGAGACAGGGTTTCTCTGTGTAGCTTTGGAGCCTATCCTGGCACTTGCTCTGGAGACCAGGCTGGCCTTGAACTCACAGAGATCTGCCTGCCTCTGCCTCCCGAGTGCTGGGATTAAAGGTGTGTGCTACCAATGCCAGACCAGCGTGATCTTTTGAGTCCAGGAGTATGAGACTTGCCTGGCCAGCACGCAAACTCAAAACAACAAACAAATAAAAACACCAAATAAGCAGAATCACAGAATTCTAATGCTTGAAGGGACTGTCTCATCTAATCTCATTACTATAATTATTTATATACTTGGGCTTCTAAGATATCTGTCCCTATAAATGAAAATCCATTTCAAAAGTCATAAAAACTTCTATCCTGTTGGAATAGGGTTCAAGAATGGAGTTGTATGAGGAGAACTGTAAGTGCTTGTGAGAAAACCAGAGTCTTGCAACCTCAGTTTCTTCAAAAACATGAAATTGTTCTTGAAATGTGTTTGTGCAACTCCCATATATATCAGATAGGAGTGAGTTTGCTTCAGATTATTCATTACAACTAGAAAAATATGCTTTGCCACATGCAGCTTGACCACCACATACAGCCTGTCCTTGTGATCGTACTTATGTGACTCCTCTTAACCCTCAGTGTATCAAATGTCTGATGCTCTGAATAAAGTTGACTACTGCATGAGACTTAGTCTGCCTCATTTATTGACTCCATCTTCCCAGGTTTACCCTCTAGAGTGGTAAACACCATTCCTTGAACCTTTTATTGGAAAACTACTTGAACCCTTTAGATACTTCCACTGATGAGCTCAAATACTCTTTACTCTGGTGAAAATGACAGCTCTAAAATTAATCAGACTCTACCATCTTGAGGAGACAAGGTTTTATCTAAACTGGCTTTCGCAACCCTGCTAAATAGCAGTACCTACAACAGTAGGTGTTTTTAATGTCATTTTGAATGTGTGAAATGGTTGGGTGAATGACTCTTCTGAGAAATCCATGTGATAAAGAAGAAGAAATGTGGGAAGAAATCTGATAGCACCTCATTTGCCAGTTTATGGTGTTTTCCTTGGTGGGGAGCTATGTTTATCTTCTCTTGGAGTCACAGGAGCTTGTCACCACAGGGTTTCTACCTGCCTCTCACTAGAATAGGTGCTGCCCTAACAGCTTTCTATTCTGAACATTCTAAAAGGGCAGCATGGCTGTGAAGAACCTGCCATTGGCCAAGTTATTTCTGTCCTGCATAAGCATTTACAAACCCCTCCTTCCCTTTTCATTGTAATTTTAGCTTATCTTACCACAAAATCATACAGTTGTGGAAATAAATGCTGCCATGTGGGATGCAAACAAGCCTGAAGACTTGCTCCATGCTCTTGCTTCTGGTTTCTCTTAGTTTTATCAATTCATATGAAGCTATAGAAGGTTAAATGTCTTACCATCCAGATGGTCCACATAACAATATACGTCATAGGTTTCATGGGGAGAGCGGAATCCATAGGTCCTGACTCCTTCCTTCCCCATCATGTCTCCATAACAGCCTTCTCTAGGAGTCCTTATGGGGTATCTAGGGAAGCAAAGGAGAGGTGAGTGGCACTCTCATTGACAAATTAATACTTAAAACTTTGGGGCTCAGACCTCTTACCTAACAGTTTGATCAGACAGCCATCCTGCATCACACTGCTCAAACCCATCTTCATAGGCAGCAAAGAGCTGCTCTGGGGTTGCTATGACTGCCCCAATGTCCAAACAAGCCTGTTGGGCAGTTGCAAAGTTCAGAGTATATCTACTGGTCGCTGCCCTGTAGTGAAACACAACTCCTGCAATGAAAGAAAACCACAAACTGTTTCAATGTTCAAATTCCCCACTGTGTCATGCAAAATTTCAGAACGAAATAACATACCAATTAATAATATTATCATAGCTACTTATTTTTACTATGCAAAACTCTTGCAGACTGCAGGTGTTTAACAATGTCACGTAAGTATCTAGGGGTCCTCCTCCTCATGCTACATTCTTGAAACATGCTGCATTAGGACATTTACTTTCACAGATAGTGTGATAAGGTAGAAATACACCAGGCTATGTGTGTGTGACAGTGCCTATTTCAGTCATCACTTTGCTCCCTACTCATAAACTAGTCTAACTCTCTAAATCTTAGTCTCCTGTCTTATCCGATAGACCTAATATTTACTTGATCTGAAGGTTGGGTAGAATGCAACACACAGTCCAAATATGCACCACATCCATTACTTAGCTAACGTTATTTTTGTATCTTCTATGACTGATACAAATGGACAATTTTCTTGCCAACAGAGGTCTGAAATAAACAGTTCTCAACACTCCCCAAGAAGTAAGGAATGTTTGCCTCCAGTTTCACTTTGTTGTATTTTACATATTGCTAAGGAAGCAGTTATAAACTGTGCTCTAGGATTCAAGAGATTGTCAAAGGGCTTCACAAAGAGCAGCTAAGGAATGAATTGACTGTCCTTTCTTTCCACTTTAATCCATTTTTAACTGGAAGAAATATGATTCATCAAAATGAATCTGACATGCCAGGGAAGTTACCAAAAACTACAGACTGGACCAACTGAGTTTCATAGTAAAGTCTTATCAAGTCATAGTAGTCAAGACCGCTTTTTGTTGTTCTTTGAAATGAATTGTGGTTCCCAAGATATATGTCACTCTCCTCTGACTCCTAGTCATTTCCTGGGTTTTGACAGATCTGTCTTCCACAGTCACACTGGCTATCAGACTCTCTCTCTCATGTTATTCTTCATATTGTGTCTCTATCTCAAGATAAGCCAGAAAAGAACTGAGGAAGACTAGAATAGCCATCTTACAGATAAGCCTGTTATCAGTGCCCACACAAAGAGAGCTGCATAGCATCTCATAGATGGAGTGACTGGCAAGGAGCATTCCTTTTCCTGTTTCTCATCTTTCATGTCTCAAAATGTCACCAAATGCCAATCTGTACCTTCATGTGGCCTCTCTAAAACTCTTTAAAATCATGCTTCTAGTAAACTTGAGAAACACCCTAAAATAGCATTTAAGCTTCAAGTGGGAACTAGAATGGGTTTAAATTGGTTTATAGTGGCTAAAGTTTCAAGTAATCTTGGGAATTATAAATCTTCCACATGTGCTGAATATTGGTACTAAGAGGGGACAGGGCAGAGGACCTCCTTGCCTAAGACAGTCCATCAGTCCATATTGTAAGTGTCTGCATTTGTTGGCATAAGAAGAGCATGGGGATTTAGTGGATACAGAGACAACAGGAAACAGATGAATTAACAGAATTAATGTTAAACTCAGTGAGTTTTTTTGTGGCACCTGAAATTTAAACCGTTTCCTTTTGGCTAAACAAACAAACAAAAAAGGTTTTTTTTTTTTTTTAAATAAAACTGCTTTTGGGCTGGAGAGATGGCTCAGCAGTTAAGAGCACTGACTGTTCTTTCAGAGGTCCTGAGTTCAATTCCCAGCAACCACCTGGTGGCTCACAACCACCTAGAATGAGATGCAAGCAGAAGACTATATACATAATAAATAAATAAAATCTTTAAAAAACTCCTTTTATGTATTTCTGAAAGGTAAATATTTTATAGGGAAATTGAGAGTTGGAGGAAAGTCTGTTCCATCATGTCTGGGTATTAGAGTTTTCCTTAATAACTTGCCAACATGTTCTGATTCCAAGAGCTGTGGCATTATGTGTGTGCCCAATTAAAGCAATTTCTCTTTGCTTTGTCTTCTAACTTAAGCTTAAGTGACATATAAACCACCATTAAAGGGAGGATAAAGGTAAAATGTGGCATTACAAACTTAATGGATAGCAACTAGTGTTAAAGTTACAGTTTTTTTAAACTCTGATTTCTTGGTCTGAACCAGCTGAAAATTCTAATACTGATTGCCTTTTTGAGACATTATGATATGAATCATGATTAGTTTTCCAATGTAACTTTTAAATGACACTTCTTGAAACTGAACTCCAAAGCTTTTGTACATTCAGTTAGTGTCTCTGTGTGTGCACACGGAGGAATGGATAAACCCATGCCCTACTACCACGTGGGTTCCAGGAATCAAACTGAGCTTAGCAGGCTTGGCAGCAAGCATCTTTCTGCTGTGCCGGCTCACCAGCACTCATTCATAATCAGAGTGAGGAGGCTGAGGTCATAGTTCAGTTATAGAGCACTTGCCTAGCATGCACAAAACCTTGGGTTTGATCTTCAGCACCTCCCAAAATCACACAAGACATAAAAGAAAAGTTCTATATCCATAAATGTATGTGCATACATATGTGGTACTTAGAATAAGAATGTCCCCTAGAGATTCATATGTTTAAATATTTAGTCCCCAGTTAGTGGAACTGTTTGAGGACTAGGAAGTGTGGCCCTGGTAGAGGAGGTATGTCATGCGGATGGGCTTTGACTTTCAAAGGCCCACACCATTCCCAGTTAGTCCCTGCCTCCTGCTTGAAGATAAAACTGTAAGCACCCAGCTGTAGTTTCAGCATCATTCCTCCTGGCCTGCTGGCCTGCTGCCATGTGATCCTTGTCATGATGGTTATAACCCTTTGTAACTATGAGCCCCAAATAAAACATTTTCATTTATAAGTTGCCTTAGTGAAGGTGTTTTTTCATGGCAATAGAAAAATAACTAAGACAACATATATACAACATCAACATTAAAATGTAGAATAGCTTTTATAGTATTCTAATGCAATCGCCAGTAGGCCTCAGCACTAAAATAATGATTTAAGAACTATGTACTATGTCTTGAGGTTTTCATTATTTCCAGTATAATGTACATTCCAACACAAAATCAATAAAGCTGCTTCTCAAAAAGTTATCTTTTTTTTTCTTTTGGTGTTTTGAGACAAGGTTTCTCTGTGAAACAGTCCTGACTGTCCTGGAATTCACTCTGTAGACCAGGTTGTTCTTGAACTCACAGAGATCCATCTGCCTCTGCCTCCCAAGTGCTGGCATTAAAGGTGTACACCACCACTGCCCAGGTTTGTGTGTATGTGTGCTTGTGCTTGTGCGTGTGTGTGTGTGTAGCTGGCCTTGAACTTGTGATCCTCCTGCCTTCTCCTCCTTCAGCAAATCCTACCCGCATGCACCTCCACAACTGCAAAGTTACCTGTCTTTAATGAGTAAGAGTAAGTTTGTTTTCAAGGAAAAACAAAGATTCTTGGATTGATGTGTTTCCCACTTGTTCATATTCTGAACAAGAGATATCATCGCGTACTAGTCCACACTTCTTTCCAACTTTTCCTACAAATCTGAAAGCCTTACCATCCACAGCCAGTGACATGGTATCCTGAGTGTCTTCAATCCCATACATGACATCACAGCGGTAGACACCTGCATCACTAGCTCGGAGTTTGACCATGGTGAGGGAGGCATCGCCCACATCCTCGGGATGTGTAAGCACTGACACTCGTCCTTTGTAGTCCTGCCCAATCTTGATATTCCCATTTTGGGCCACCAGGACAGTAGTCTCCTTTATGTCTTTTCCATTTTTGTCCACTTCCATCTTAGACCATTTGATTCTGAGGAATTCACTTGTGTTGTAATTGGGTGGTAAGGTAGGCATGGTGGAAAAATGACAAGGTAGGCTCACTTTCCCAGACAGAGAGCCTTTAACAGGTGCACTTTTTTCCATTTTCACTAGAGGGAAGACAAAATATCAGATTAATATTCCTGAAAAGCTGGAACTAAGCCTATTGAATGTATAAATAGATAGGCAACAGACCTTTAATTACATCTTGAATGTGTGGAAAACTGAGAATGATCTCTATAAAGAAAATAGCATGGAACTTCAATAATGCTCTATAACAATGATGGGGGTTAATGATATACATCTTTGTACAGTAAAATGCAGAGCTCATTTGAAAGCATTTGTTAATTGGTATCTAACATGGGGGAAAAGAAGTAGAGTAAGACAAGAACAAGTAAAAAATGAAGGGCAGAAAAGAAGTGGGCAGGGTAAAATCAGTACCATTGACTAAAAGATTAGATCACTCAAGGGAGTGATGGGTGCTTGTGCCTTTAATCCTAGTACTCAGGAGAATGAGGCAGGGGCACTGCTGTAAGTTCCAGTCTTACCTACACCACAATGAAAAAGATCAGCCTTCCCTTGTCTCCCTCTCCCTGCCCCCATTTATCTGAAAAAAGCTAGACTGATGTTAAGAAAAGCAATTGGAAGGGGAAAACCTAGGTTCATAGATCAGAGGGGAAAAATAATTTAAGACAACTGCCACATGTATTACTTTAGGAAAATATAATAAAAATTAATATTTGAAGACAAAGTTAGAATTTTAAACAGTACTTGAGAAGAGTAGAGAAAAAGCAAGGCTCGAATTTTAAGAGCCTTCTACTTAGGCCAGCAATTGAGGCAGGCACATTTCCAAGGCCAGCCTGAACTTGTTACACTAACAGGTCAGAGATGAGAATCATTTAAGGTAATGACCATGTTACCTTAGAGAAAATAAAAATAAAATTGAAAGAAGAATTTCGAACAGTACTTCATGAGACTGGAGTGAGGGTTAGTCTAATGTTTGAAGAGCCCTCTTTGGGCCCTTGTTTCAACCAAAGGCTTCATTATAATGACAACTCCAGCTGCAATCACTTTGCAAAGAAACACTGCCTTTCATTATCCTGGGCCAGAAAACCAGCTTCTGTTCACCTAGCTGGCCTGACATACTTATTTCTGCTTAAGCTCTTAAACATTTAATGACAAAGGGTGTGCTGGTTACAATTTAACACCGCTGCATGCAAAAGAAAACACCCTCTCACCCTTCCTGGAATCCATCCCCCTCACCGCAGCCCTCCTTCTCCTTCGCAGCTTCGACTAAGGAGGCTAAACCAAGTGTTAGAAAGGGTAAAAATTATTGTTCTTGCACATGTGATGCTCACTTCATGAAATGATGGCCAGACGTAAAGAGTTGCCTCCAAATCAAGTGACATTGTGATGTTTAACTACTAAAATGATGTTTGTTTTATTGTTTTTTTAATATCATAAAGGTTATCAGAGAAATATGTGTCCTCATGTAGACATGCATCAGCAATCAGAGCTCACTGAACCCTGATCAGTCAGTTGAGTCATTTTCAAAATTACAGGAAAATATTAATCCCTTTAAGAGAAAAAAGGGATTATTTGCCAAAGACAAATTTTAACTTTAAAGAGATGGGCCTAAATTGGGCACAGTGGCTCATGCTGGCAATCCCAAGACATGAGGCATGGGGATAGGTGAATCTCCATTAGCTGGAGACCAGCCTATTTTACATAGAAAATTTCAGAGCTGTCTGGGAAGATGCCCTGTTTCTTCCTTCCAAAAAATATGATTAATACAATATTATGTCTGGTGTATTTATAGTAGAAGTCACTCATTTATCTCAAAATTATAATGACTTACTTTCAGGACTAGTTTATCATTCTATTTAATCTACATATATAACCTGTTCACAGGATACATAACAAAATTAACTAAAAATGAAGTGAGCTATTGGCTGCACTAAGTTACTCTTTAAAATACTAAGATTTTTTTTTTAATTTTGCAATGTAATAATGAGGCAACATCTCATTTCCATTGGTAAGAAAATAAAATCTCTAATTTAAAGTTCACGCTTTGAAATGAGCCTGATTGCTTGGTGAAGAGGCCCCCTGAGAGGAAGTGGCAAGCCCCCAGCTGGCTGGCTACACACCTGAGCCAGAACACGTATCTCATTATATCGAACCAAACAATTTTTAGTATTGGCATTCATTAACTCCTTCTCATGACACTAAACTCATTCACAAAGGCAGTGCTCACTTTGTCTCACTCTCTAGACACCTGCTTTAGTCACTGCCAGAAGGGAAATCTTTTAGAGGTTTCATAACCTCTTGGATACATCCATTAAGCCTGTAGGAAACATGCTAAAAGTGATCCTACTGGTTCACATTCCTCCAACTTAGAATCAACTAAAGGGATGCCAACATTTCTGTTTTATTTGTTTATTTTTCTATCAAGAGCAGGGATTCTAAGACTGAAGGTGAATTCTGTACCTAAAACAAATCTAATTTACACTTATTGTATGTTTCTAGGAGTTCACACTTTCTACCCTAAAGAATCACTTAACACAAATAAAATATAGTGAGATTACCACAAATATTGGGGTTTGTTTTTAATAGAAAAGGAAACAATTTTATAATAGTATAGGATAGATAATCTCTAATTCCTTAACATCTATTTCTAAATTACAATTGTTTTCACAAATATAGGGGAAGCATAAACCCTATCAAGTAGAGAACTTCCTGAAATATGGAACATGGCTTAATCACTATTGCTGTGATGAAGGGCTTATGGGGACAAAAGGCAATGTCCCAAGGGCTGTGCACTGTTCTGCCTGTTCATAAACACACAGATATTAAAAGCTTTGCTCTGAAATGGATATAAGCTTACGTAGAATCTAATATTCAGAATAAAATTAACCAAAAGATGTGTGGGCAAAACTTTTGAGTTTTAAGACTTGGGTCTTAATCTACTGGGACACAAGAAACAAGTTAATCCCATCTAAATATTTTAAGAATTATCTAAGTAGTCTGAAGTATAAGTAGATAAAGTATACACTTAGAAAAAATTCAGGAACTTGTCTGAATCTAGGAAAAATGCATCCTGACAAAAGCAATGTTTGCTATTCTCAAAGACAGTTTGTGGTCTACATGAGTACAGTAAGGGAGAAAGCATTGTGTAATGAATGATCCATTACTCCTCATCCTGTGCACAGGCTCTGCACAGTAAGAATGGTGCAAATTCCATCTGTGTAGAGAGAGAAAGGAGCCACCAGACAAATATCAGATTGAGAATACTGGAATTTGTATTACATTCTTGTTCAATTCATGACCTCACAATACTGTATTCTATTTTGTATTGCTAGAGGAATATTAAAGTAAGTGGGTCAATTTTCAGTATTTAAGATGGTTTCTAATACGATTGTCAAATGCATTGTCAAAGCAAAGTGCTAAAGCCAATAAATCAGTATGATATGATGTTCCTTAATGTGAGGTGCTGACCTTTAGTATCCTATGACCTACCAGAGCAGACAACAGAAAAGCCTGCAGCACCTCAGCAAGTTACTGCCGCCTATCCCACTATGAACTGGAGAAATGTGTTTTATTTGGATATTAAGCTTGTATATTTTTTGTTTCTGCCTCTCATTGAAAGAACTTAGCATCCCCCAAGTCAGCTAAAAATTGATTATGTGTATTATAAAGAGTGGGGCCTCAAATGTAGTAATTGCATATTGTTAGCTATTAATGTTTTCATTTCTAGGAAGGAAATACATCATACATTGTTTTTTTCACTATGTCTCTATTTCAAACAAGGGATGTCTTGTGTGACTGTCACTGTATTTCCTCTTCCATTATTAGCTACTTAAACTATTCCTGTCTCCATTGGATACTCTTATTCTTTCCTCTCTGGTCTCTTTATCTACTTCTTGGAAACTTTTATGAAGATCATTTTGGGGTTATTACCAGATACTGGCACTTAGGCTCCCCATCCTCATAGCCACAACCTGAAGTAAGTTAAGAGTTTTGCATTTAGGCTGCCACAATAATCACCCAAATTCTTTGTCGCCATCCCTGTTCTCCTATAATCAAATCTTTACAAAACATATAACAAAAGGTTTAAAGAATTTAATGTCACATGTCCTCTGTGGACTGAAACTCTTTAGTGTATGTTTGTGCACACAGAATAAAATCTTATCTTCTAAAACACCTATACAGCCCTAGATAGATGAGAAGTGTGAGACAATGGTGAGGGCTAGGATTCATGACTTGACTTCTTCAGCCCCTCCCTCTGATGCTTACTGGATGTGGAAAGCAATTGTTCTTCTTGGCACTTCAGTTTCCTCTTTATAGCACATGGGTAATGGATGTTTTGGTTAACCAATGTTAAGCACTTAAAATAGCTTCCAGCTCCCAGTGACTCCTGTCTACGTGCCTAGTGCTGCTTCTATTTCTATAAGCTGAACTCTGCTTATCTCTCTGCCTATATCTCCTACTTTCCTTTTGATCACTAATGTCCAACAAGAGTGATTTTCCTGTTGTTCACACAAGTTTGTCTTTTTAACTTAAGGGCAGATCTTAGCAGGTTGGTGAGGCTTCATTCTTATTTCAACTTACATGTCACTTTCTCAGAGACCTTCCCTCAACCAAAGCCATTCTCTAGAATGTCTTTCTGCTTTATTTTCTTCATCAGAAAATGCCTACAAAGGTTATTTGTTTGTTTATTTCCAGTGCATATAAATTTTAAGTTTAATAAAAACAAAATCTACAATATCCACTGATATATCCCTGGACACCTAGAATAATGCCTGATACAAAGAAGAATTCAAAAATATTATCAGAGGATGGAAGGATAATTTGGGGATGGATGGATGGATGAGATGGAGGAACAGGTGGATGGACAAGTGGATAGATGGGTAGGTAGCCGGGTGGATGCATGAGTGGATGGATGGATACTGGATAGATGTTTAAACCTTCAGTCTTGAAGAATGAGTTAAAATATAATTAAATAGAACCACAGAGGAAGTGTCAAACGAAAGGAATCTCATACAAGAAGGAGGAAAGACAAAAAGTCTGTGAATGGACAAATAATTTCAGAAAGTCTGGAGCAACAGTGGGCAGAAGAAGTAGAAGCTAGACATGCAGAGTCTACAAAGTAGAAGCAGATCAGTGAAGCTTGACATGGGCTCTTCAAAGTCTTCATTGTGTCTCTTTGATTACACTAAAAATTAAAGTGAGAATTACAGAACCCTCACTGAATAGGTGTAAAGTTAAAGCTAAGAAGGACAGTGTCTGTGCACCTACTTACCACTACCTTTAATAAACAAAGACAAAGGCAGCTGGTTACAGATACCTGCAACATTGTTTAATTTTCCAAACTTAAAACTCTAGACTCAAAGGCTTAATTTTCTTTTTGGTATAAGAAAGTCTTTAAAATGTAGTACAGAAGAAATTAGAATTTTAAGTATTCTCAGTGCTCAAAAAGAGCCTTTTTACACAGTTCAGCGTGGGGGCCAGACATGGTAACACATATTGGTAACCTAGAATTTGTAAGGCTGGATCAAGAGAACCATGAGTTTGAGACAAGCTGGACAACATAATGAGACACTGTCTCAAAACAAACAAACAAAACAAACATACAAACCAACAAAACCAAGTGATCTATGAGGTTTCTGAAGGCTTCACTCACAAGAGTTTGTTATTTTGGTCTATTTGACTTACTGAAATATACTGCATTCAGTAATACTTTAAGTAAAAATCTTAAACAATGCATAGATTTTTTGAAATGATTCTTCATTGTATGATCCCATATTATAATTCCATTCCCCAGTGTTTTTTTACATATTAATAAAGAAAGTGTTACTCTTCTTACCTTTATGCAGTGCGTGGGTTACTAATAAGGTTGAACACATCCATAATACGCTTTTCATATTTATCCACATCTTGCCCTAAAAATGAAGAAAAACAAAGTGTACCACAGGTATTTACGGTGGTGGCTGACTGTAAATCACATGTTATGTTAATGAGATACTGGGTGCAATAAAAGAGGCAGTTCTCTGTGGACTGTACAAACAAGAGACTTCTAATAGAAGATATCACAACATTGTAATGATTAATTTGAGTCACACTTGAGACAATAGTTACCAAGATAATTCCAAGCTCCCATGTGGGGACTCATAACCCAAGGCTTACACACCATGACCACAGCTAGATAGGCCATAGGAATAACACTAGAAATGACAGTCTGTGTTCATATGGTGAAGAGCTGGCATAAAGAGGATGAAATAACCTCAGAATCTAATTAGAATGAAGAAAGTGGATGTGAGCAGACGGAGAACATGCTGAAGATGATGCAAAAGAGATGTTGCAAACTCCAATTTTGCATCTAGTTAGAGGTGAGAAGGAACTGACTGATTGGTGGCTCTGGCCGATGTTATCACCAGCAAGAATGAGACTTCAGAAGATTTTGTTGTAGTGGAAGCACAAACACCACTGACTGTCTAGCTGGCTGAACAAACAAAATAAATGTATCCCAAAGAGCTGCTAATTACAAAAGTGACCAGTTTTAAAGCACTCCCAACAGCTTTTAAGTCTCAAGAGTAAACAATGAAAGAAGATATTTTTCACTGAAAGTCAAGAAACACTGACCTTGGCTTAGCTACTAATTTACTGTGTGCTTTGGGAAAGACATTTAACAATCTGAGTCACAAAACAAGCTCTTCCAAGTCTGAATTTACAGAAACGGCCTAGTAAGGACAAGCACAAGGATTGAGGGTTGTTAGTGTTTCCATTTAAATATATCTCACAGACCAACAGTTTGAAGATTTGGGCCTCATCTTGGCTTTGTTGGAGTTGGAGAAACTTAGAGATGGTGCCTAGTGGGAGTTCTCAAGTCCATCAATGCTGTATCCTCAAAGGGAATATGGACTGTGGATCTCTGTTTACTTTCCCACTGACTTCTCATGAGCAGCCCATTCCACCACATGCTCCCAGGCACGATATGCCACCTAGCCACACGCCCTCAAACAAGACCCATGCACTTCATCTTCCAAAACTGAAGAGCCAAAGAAACCTCTCTTATATGTTTAAGTTGGTTGTCGAAGCTTTTTGTTATAGCCTTGGAAGCAGACTCACAGACATATTATTCAAGAACATTTTGTTATTTTCAGCCAAAGACATCTTCATGGGCTCATATGTAAGTTGGTACCCTATTGAACTCCCTTTGCCTGCCTTGTGAAACAAATCCTGTATTACCTAGAAAGCCTGGAGTAGAATAAGTAAATGACAAAAGAATCCAAGTCCAGTTTATGCTCAAATATATTTAAAATATATTTGACTCAAACATATTTTAATACTCCATGACAGCTACTCATTTTTCTTTAGTAACATTCTGCATTTGATCTTGTTTTACAAATATGCTACAACCAAACTAAAACAAAACTGTAAAATGCTTAACTTATGGATTTTTGGCTTTACCTATGTCTGGATGGCCTGACAGTGGTTCAGAAATAAGAAACATGAGCATTTGGGTCATAAAATGATATTAAATATATGCAATCCGCAAATATTAATTTAATCCAAATAGAAAACCTTCTTTTAATCATACTTCTAATAACACTTTCTTTGTTTCTTCAGAAAACTTGGCCTCTGTTTTTAGTTTTCTTCCTTTTTTTCAGGAAAGCATTATAAAGTATTTTTTAATGTTTGGGCTCTACTGTTAAACAGCCTTGAATTCAAATTCTTCATTTTTAACTTAAACTCTCAGATTATAAGTAAATGGATATGCCTCTCTAATATTTATTTCTCTAGTTAAGGATGAAAATTAATGTGCATTATAGAAATGATTGAAAGACCTGAAAATACTGCCCATGAAATATGCTCATTTATATCTAATATAGCCAGTATGTTGTGATTATTATTAAAATTAGCAACTCAAGCTTTCTATAGATGCTCTAATTCTCGCTTCATGTCACTAATAATAAAGAATTTGAAGCCATAAATCATACTTTGGATTACCTCTCTTATAGCAGTTTGTAACATTATGTTCATAATAAACTGCCATCACTTATCATTGACTTTAATTATTAATTTAAAATATAATTTAAAAAGAGGTGGCTCAGTGGGTAAAGGCACCTTCAGTGAAGACTCATGACTGAATTTGGTCCCCAGGAACTACATATTAGAAAAGAACTTTTTCTTTCATGTTGTCACCTGAATTCAACATGCTAGATGTGGGGCATTTGCATATACACATAAACAATACATAAATGTAGTAAAAATATGTTTTATATCTACTATAAAACAGTAGGCTTCTAGGAGGCAAAGCTACTTATGAATTCACACAATATTGTACAGTGCTAAGTCTAATACAACTTGGAGAGGGTTAGTAGACCAAATGTGTAATCAGTACTTCCACTTTGAAGTACCAGCGATTCCTTATGAATATGAGCATGTATGTAGGGCTAACTGAGGTTTGAAACACATGAAACTATCCAGCTGAATATTAATATTACCTATAATAATATGAGACACATCAATATTCAGATAGTCCAATGTTATAAAACCAAAGGAAAATGATGTGATCCTGACTCTGGAACATATCCTCTGCATTCTTATTTCTTGCCCAGGACAAATGCTCATAAACCTAACTCTTCATATATCATGCTTAATCCTTATAAACATGTCTTTATTTTTTCTAAATCAAAGAGAAAAATCTGTCTTCATCTCTACAGCAAGTATTCTTAACTGCCCAGAGACTATCATTAAACCAAAAGAATAAGATCAGTGCCTTAAAAACACAGAGATGAAAAATGTTTGAGATGCACTGATATAAGTTACAAAAATGTGCTTGAATAAATTGCTCCAAAGTATATACAAGAGCTCTCAAACTAAATCCCAGATCTCCAACTTCATTGGAAGATTAACCAGACAGTCCAGTGATAGGTCTGTATTCTGGCTGTCCTGTCACCAGCAGTAACCATACAACGGCCTTCTAACTTGGGTTTTGTGCTGGAAGTCACGGGTGTTCCAGCTGGCCTCTTCTCTATCTCCACTCATGCCTGCCCCTGTCAACACCTTTGCTACACTCAAATTGAAGGACTACACTCAGTCATGACTTTGGTAACTATGTCAGAGACCCCTTAGTGAGTGTCTTACAACTATATTTCTATTGTCCCATCATCAGTATATGTGAACATACAATTCCCTTTTCTTTTCAGTTTTGTGAGACCTACACCTGTGCCTTTAATTAAAATATATCACTTTTTCTGCATTTGAGCCTATTAAGTAAGAAAATTGGCTCTTTCTTTATTTCTAGCATGCCTCTAGCTCCCATTTCTATTCTTCTGCTCCAGAATGTCTGTCTTATGTGGTCTGTCAGTGATAGCAAATCTCTGTACATGGAAAGTCTGAGAAGATAAGGAAGCCAGCACTCTCTATATTTAGCCATATACTTCAGTAAAGTCAAAAATAGGAAAAAGTCATCAAACCATCAAGGTCCAGCTGACTACAGCTGTTTAGTTGCCTGGGAAACAAAAGACTTCTATCCCTGTGAAATGTCTGCAGAGAAGAGGGGCACCTCACACCAGGGATAGACTGCCAGGGATCTATTAACCAGATATTTAGTATGATCCCTCATTCTCAGGGAAGCCTAGAGGAGAGAGGGTAATCTAAGGACAAAAACACGATGGTTTTGTCTACCATCCTGCCAATCAGTTGTTCTGGGCCACTAATTGTCTTGGATACCTCAGTTACAAATACATTGTAACTTGTGTAACTTGTAACCATTACAAGTTATACTATAGTACTTGATAGTATTAACTGTACCACAGGAATTTATCACAGCCTACACCTAGATTCCTTAGCCTGGACTGAGTTAGGATTTTTAGTGATGTCCTTTAGCACTCTGTTCCCTGCCAGTGTAGTTTTGTTTCATTACTCTATCTCCTCCGTGCTCTGTTTTCATTGTAACACATGGCACTATTTTGCTTACGTATTTGGGAATTATCTTCCTCTTTTAGCCAACACAGAAGCCTTAAGAAAAAACCTTTAATATTTTCTTCACTTCTAGTTCTACAATACCCAGAACATTCAGTAACTGTGTGTTTTAAAATAATGAATATGTACTTACTTATGCCACTAAATAAGTTCTCTCTACACTTTTCCCTTTTACTCTCTTCACTTAAACCAATATTCCAAATCAGCAAATACAATTTTCTGTGGATATAGTAAAAATGTTTACTCAGAAAGTTCTCTGGGATGAATCTTTAGGATGGTTCCAAGTTTGTACTATTAAAAGTAATGCTTCAAGCTGGGCGTGGTCAAGCACAACTTTAATCCCAGCACTCAGGAGGCAGAGGCAGAGGCATGTGTATTTCTGTGATTTCAAAGCTAGCCTGATCTGATCTACAGAGCAGGCTCCAGTGATACACAGAAACTCTGTCTTGAAAACCCAAGAAATATGCTTTAATCCATATGTAGTAGGGCACACCTGTAATTCTAGCACCGAGGAGAGGAGGCTGAGTGAAGCAGGGGGCTGACTGAAAGGTCAAAGAGAGAACTAGGCTCCAAAAGGAATCTCAGACTTGAGTTGCTATGCATTCATACCCTACCTTAGATCAGACCAATCCATCAATAAAACACTACAAGAAAAAATTCTTATGCATCTACCTATCTTGAGTGATACTTCCACCATAATATCTAAAAGTAGAATTCCCAGGTGAAAGAATATGCACATTTTTCAATATCTTTTGCTGGTATATTAAAAATGTTTGCTGTATTATTTTCTCAAGAAAATGAACTCATTGAAGTTCTTTTGTTAATTTGTAACTTTGGTTCTCTACAACCCAATCAACACAAGTTTCCCAAACTGTTCCTTGTCTGACTGATGAAAATAAAATTATGCAGTGTGTTGTTGCAGTTTTAGTGACATTTTAAAAGATTTATTTACTTTATTTCATGTATATGAGTGTGTTGCCTGCGTGTATATATGTACACCATGTGTGTGCCTGGTACTCATGGAGGCCAGAAGAGGGCATCAGAGCCCCTTAAACCTGACTTACAGATGGTTGTGAACCACCATGAGGGTGTTAGGAACTGAACCAAGGTCTTCTGCAAGAACAACAAGTGCCCTTAACCACTGAACAATCTCTCTAGCCCCTTACGATTATTTTTATAACTATGAATGGAAGTGAGTAAATTTTGTCACATGATTCAATAACATATTTTTTACACAACACTACCAGTCTGTAATTTTTGCCCAAGTTTTGACAGATTCAATATTTGTTAGTATTAGTAGGCATAGTACATTAGTATCTCTTATTTATGTAGTTTCCCATTCCTCAAAGCTTTTTCGTAGGTATTTGGACTTCTAAACATTATAACTGTATCCATGGAATAAATTATGCCCCTGAAGCTGCAGCAGTTCCATTTAACTTGGTTTCCCAGTTAAAGCACCCAACACAGCCTTTCTGATTATCAAGTCTAGTGGTCACTCCAGGCTCTCTGGGTCAGGTTGAAACAATAAGTTAATGGAAAAAGACTGTGATTCATGACTTACTACTTCCATGTTTACTATAAAATGGATAATTTCTTTCTTAAAATATTTATTTTATTTTAAAGTGTGTGTGTGTGTGTGTGTGTGTGTGTGTGTGTGTACACCTGCCTGCCTGCTTGTGTGTTCTTGTGAGTGCAGAGGCCAGTCAGATCTCTCTGCAGCTGGAGTTAAAAGTGATTATGAGTAGCCTGACATGGAAACAAACTCCTGTCCTCTGCTAGAGAAGTACACACACTTCACCACTGTGGATCTCTCTGGTGCTGAAAATAGGTTATTTCTGGCAAGCAGTCCATACATGTACCCTTCTATATATAACAGGTCTATCAAAAGAGTTTAGGATATGTAATTAACAAACACCTTTAACAAAGATCCCGTGTACCAACCACTGAAAGAAAGCTACCCCAACACAAGTTCTAAGAACTTTACATCAGATTTGATTTTTGTGTCCTAGATGCATTTGTGGATTATAAGAAGAAAGTGACAAACCTTCACTAATCCAAATGGAACTTAGTCAAGTAGTGTTTGCTCCCCCTTGTTCTGACTCCAAATGTATGCATCAGGCAGCACATTTTTCCACACCAAGGCAAGTAACCTCTAACAATGAGTTTTTGTCTGTCTCCTCCCTGATTTCTCTGGGTGGGTGGAGGAAATTTTAAAAATCCACCTAGTATTAGGCACTTATTCTTTTGCTACAAAGCACCAAGAAGTTCTGCCCTTCTCAGAGCTTTATGCCATCTGAAATGAAGTGTCTGTGGATGTTTGTCCAAAAATAAAGCCAACAAAAACGTTTAAACTCCAACAGGAAAAAGAAAGAGATTGAGTATATAACTGTGGAAGAGAGAGCTGCTTGGTCTTTGTGCTTTCGGGGGCTCTAGGATGTCCCATTACTGACCAATCATTAACCTGGGAGTGTTTAAGCATAGCCCTGTGAGGAGAGACAGAACAATGGGAGCATCACCCATATTAACCATCTTCAGGTTTGAGTTAGCCCTTTTTATCCTTTCCAAACAGAAAGTTACTCCAATATAGATTGAGACAGCTCAGAATAGCAGAGGGATTTCCCTGCAACTTGCAAAAGCAAAGAAAGGGGGAAGCCTGATTTTTAAACACCCATAAACCCGAGGAAATTCTTTTTAAACTTTTTTTTAAAAGAAAGAAAAAAGACTTATGAAGAGGCTTAATTTTTCAAACCACGATGAAAAACGAAACTTTGAACTCTTCCATAAATTCTAAGTGATGGTCTTGAATCCCCCCCCCCCCCCCCCCCCCCAAAAATAAAAAGTGGGGACTGACTT